ATTAAAGAATTACTTAGAAAAAATGGTTATCCAGATAAATTTATTGAGAAGAATATGAATTCAGCATCAAAGAGAGTCAGTATTGCTACAGTTTCGAAAAAGCCAATGTTCATAAAATTGCAGTTCCTCGGTGACAACATCAGTGAGATCATAACACAGCGCTTGAAGAATGCAGTTAAAAGAGCTTATTATGCAGCAGAAGTACGTTGTCTCTTCACAACCACCCCTATTCTATGTTCGAGAAATAAGGACAAACTACCTAATTTTGCCTCTTCTATGTGTGTATACCAGTTTGACTGCAGCTGCGGAGCCAGCTACATTGGGCGTACAATTAGGCAGTTTCATCGTCGTATTTCTGAACATCATCCAGCGTGGTTAAGCAAGGGACAAACAAAATCTATTCGGAGTTCTATTTTAGCACACCTTGTTGATACCGAGCACAAGGTTGATGTGAATACTGCATTCAAAATCATTTATCGCATTCCGACTAATCTCAACTTTGCTCTAAGAGTTCGTCTTCTACAGACAGCAGAAGCAATCGGAATCCACCTTAAGAAGCCAAGCCTATATGTACAGAAGAAATTTGTACAGCCACTTTGCTTACCGTGGCCATCCTTACAAGACAGGACTACGTCGCTCCCCTCCCCCTATTAAATTATAATTGTCCAAATTATTTTATTTTATTTTTATTTTGACCGCTTCATCTTTAATTACGTGTTATTCTTGTAAAATTAATTTATTCTATCCATTTCTACTTTTTTAAATGTGTATTGATTTTCTGCGTTAATTATCTACCCATTGACATTTCGACACTGTTTAAATATTGTTAACAAACATATCACCACTTGTTTGGTAAATTGTTGTGTATTGTAAAAATGCTATATATATTAGAGTAGAGCCAGAGAAGAGGATCTAATTGAAAAGTAAATATTTCTTCGCTCAATCTTTTGTGTTTTACAAGCTAAATTAACAGACATTCTATCATCATAAATTTTCATGAGTCTTTCAATGGTCGTTTTGTTTAGAGCACAATAAAAACAGTCAGTGAGGCAGCATTTATTTGGAATGAAATGATAACTTCATAAAAAAGTTTTGAAATTCATGCCTGTCGGTCTAAACTGGGGAACCAAAGAGGAACCTCTTAAAAAGTAAGTGAGTAAGAGACAAAAAACAGCATTAACTTGTGAAAAATCACCATATTAACAGAGACAATTAAAAAAATAAGTAGTAGCTAGTGAATGGATGATATAACACGCTAATTGCATTTATTTTTTGGAGGCACTGACTACATTTATCTCGAATAAACACGGATAATTAATCTATCAGGAGTATATGTCAACGTAACGGATATATAATAATCATAATACTGTTTCCCAAAGACTAAAGTTTAGCTTCAGTCGGACTTGATATTATAAAGCATATGAATCACTGTAATTTACATCTTAAACCACTTAGTATAGGTATAATTTACACTTGTTTAGATGTTTTACCAGAATACTAAATCTCATCACTGCTGAATTCCTGGTTTTGCTCCTAAAGTCAAACTGTTTTTGTTTACTTTATTTGGTTTTTACTGATTGGCTTTAGCTAGCTGACATGTTTAAATGTGGCGTCAGTCATGATGTTTTCGTGAATGCTTGTAGGTAATATAAATAAGTGTAATTTGTATGCATGTAGTTAATGGCTTTCTAACTTTTTTACTTATTGTTTTATTTAACCGTCAATACTAACTGCAACTTATATGAGTATAAATTATAATCGTTTGTGATTAAAATTACTTCAGAAACTTTCAGTAACTGTTAGAAATTATTTTCCCGGTGATTTATGAATATACCTGTATCAAAATGATGTACTCATTGTAGTTAGGGCTTAAGAAGACATTTGCAGCTGAAAAGGAAAGGGGCTTGTAACGGATACCTGTTAATGGTGTAAGACCACAAGCAGGAAAACATCAGTTTATAATAGAGAATAAATACTGCTGAAAGGATTATTTCGAGGAAATAATTGTGGTATTTGGAATCCCAATAACTGATAGTTAGTAATCTTGCGCCATTTACTGATTTTAATACGCTTATCGGGGTTTTTAACTACTGGTTGTTAAAATTTCTAGCACTGCATTTAGCCAAAATACACTAACGTTTTTGGCTGAGAGCAAAAGCCACTGAACATTCATGCGCACACTTTTGCTAACCTAATGCTATTTTAGCCATCATCTTTATTTTAATAAGGCAACTGTAGTAAAGGCTTTAAATTACGGAGTAGCGACAAAATTTTAGGAGTCTTCCAAAAGACCAATACTCTGTCTTTACCTTCTATACTACAGAGAGCAGTCAACTGATGTGCTTTCAGACCAGTAAAATGAGAGCAATACAGTGCTCTGGATACACAACACTAAGTTTTTGAGTAAGCTAGTAAAAGTCAAGTCTCATAATACCCCAGCCAGGTAGTAAAAGACGCATGATATCAACGGAAAAAACGTGGGCGCACAGCCAGAATGAATTATGTGTTGATTAACTGGGATAGTTCCGAGAAGAGAAGCTCAGTAGATTTATAAAACTATGGTTACTGCCCAGCAAACTTGAGTAAAGCTGTCAGGGTCAAACAGTTTCAGTGAATACACTTCATATTTAAATGTATAGAATTCAAGAGTTAGCTAACCAATTTAAATGAGATAGGAACATTACTGATAATTCTGATGAATGTCCAAAAATACCGGCAAGTGATGAAATATACGCAACGAATGTGTTCAATACCGTGGTAAAATCACTGATTCCTTCGTCACATGTCTACAAACATGTAACCGTTATTATCATCTGAGCATTTTATGTCGCAAATTCACACATATTCGTAAACTTATTCCACTGTTGCATGACAAATTCAAGTTGACTGGAGCTATCAAAAAATAAATGAATACAGCTCTACGCAACACACCCATGCTATTGTTGACCCTTGCTCAAGATATTTTGCGGAAAATTTACTGTATGTTAAAGGCCTTTCAAACAGAACAGCCAACGTCCAACTAAAAGCACATTAGATCAATAATGAAGCTGAGAACTGAAATCTACTATCTTCTGAGATGGTCAAGTAAACGAAACCAGTCATATCATTGGTCTGTTGCCGGAAAAGCCGAAAAATTTGACATCCTCGTGACCTTCAGGCAATTAATTTGGTGTTTTAAATACCGATTCTGAGCAATTGTGAGATTTTCCCCAAAGTTTCTTTGGTCGCAAAAGAGGAAAATATCCAACTCAACATAAAATAGTCAAGTTTTCTGACAAATATAAGTTTCAGGAACAAGAACCAGAAGGCTATAATCGCAGTCAATGGCGTTTGCACTCATTATTTAAAACCTGTGTTTACATTTTATGAAATTTCAGTGGACTAGAGTTAGTCCGTACTACTTGGTTACATTTTTCTCAAGTTTAACTAATGGTAGGTTTACACCAATTACAACTCAGTTTCAAAGTTTACTAGGAAAATTTGAACGGGAAATTTTCAACTTGCCTTAGAATCATCTATCGATGCTTTTAGTTCTGCCGCTGATTTCATTCGTAGTTCCAAGTCTTCATCCGGCCTTCTATGCACTTTGAATGATCTCCTGTAGTATTATACTCATACTTTATGTAGCTAACCTGCAAGATGGCACAGGAAATGTTACTTTTTTCTCTGAATTGTTTCCACTGTCAACCAACACTTCACACTTTCTAAAGGTGTGTACAGCTATATTTAAGGATTACTGTTTCCTCAGGTCAGGCACTTCTCGAACTCTCCTGGAACATTCTTTCTTTTCCTGACACGGTAAAGCATCTCTAGTTGTTTCTGAGTAGTGAGGGGTTCCACTGGGATATTCTATTGACTTAAAAGACCTTTCAAACTGCAGATGTGATAATTCATATCTTTAATATATAGAAATAGAGCGGGAAATTACTCTAGAATGTTTAGTTGTTTTTCTATATCTCTCTTGACTTCATGTGCTTGTTGGAGTTCAGAATGAAGACACTCCAGCCTGCTTTCGAAAAGTGGATGACTGTGCTCACGTTCAGTGTCTCCACATTTCGGAAGTTCTTTCAACAGTTCATCTTTTTCTTTGATTAATTTTGCGATCAGTGACTCTGAAATATAAAGCTCATTCCTAACAAATGAGTGCTGGATAAATATTGTGTTTGTTTACTGTAATTTGAATTTAAATTCTTTTTTCTCTAAAATGGTTGGGTCGGTACGTGTTTCAGTATTAAAAATGTTCATGTCTTCCTGATTTTCACCATACATGCTTTCATTTGAATATGTTCCTGCCTGTTGCTATAGTGCCAAAATCCAATATCCAATATCCAATATCTTTTTACGAGCTAGTATAAACCAATTTGATTTCTTTGCGCTCGCCTCTTGATTGTAAGGTAGAGGTTCCTGATCTTTGGTAAACGTCTGTGTAGCTCGTCCCGCCACTCGACTGTCGTAGCTTTGGTTGACTCCAACAGGAGTAGTGCTGGGATTAATTATATGGCGTCTGTAGTATGAAGTGTGTTAAGACTGTTACTACTGTGAATGGAGTTGATCCTTTCACCAGTTAGTCTTTCGGTATCGTCGTCAATGGAAAAGAGATAATAATAATAATAGATATAATTAGTAAAGGTATTCAGACTAACAGATAGAGAAAAAAATAAGAAAACGTAACAACAGTCAGTCAACCGGTGTACATATATATATATGTATAATATATACCAGTAATAATGATAATAATAATAATAACAATAATAATAAGTGTAGTTAAAGCTGTCAGGAGAGTAAGACTGAAGGGAATGTGAAGAAGTAAAACGACCAGTTTAATTGTCTATCTTTGAATGGTATATGCGATTTTAAGGGGATAGGCCATTTGGATACAGTCGTTGTGTCACTGCAAGGTTGTCCAGCCTTCGCTTAAAGGCGTCCACAGATGGTGCCATAGCTACATCTGCCGGTAAGGAATTCCAGGGACGGCAAACCCGCAGGGAAAAGAAGTGGGAGCGCACCCGGGTCCTTGCCCTCTGATGAGCTATCCTTCTGGGATTTCCACGAGGGAGCCTATACCTACTCAATGGCAGAACACCTTTGTTCGGGTGATTCTGATCATTTGTTATTTTGTAGGCAGTAATTAAATCCCCCCTCAGGCGACGGTAACTGAGTGTGAATAGGCCTAATTTCTTCAGCCTTTCGTCATATGGTTTATTTCGGAGTCCAACCACTCCTTTTGTTGCCCGTCGTTGGGCTCTTTCCAAGAGGTTGGCGTCACTTTTAAGCAGTGGGGGTGCAATGATATTATGCACTTCAAGATGCGGTCTGACGTATGTTTTATACAACCTTAGAAAGAGCTCAGGAGTGAGTGCACCTAATTGTCTATGTGTAAAGTGTATGACCGCATATGCCCTCGCTACATCCCCCGTGTAATTCACGCTTGTGTCCATTTTCTCCGTTAGAACTAGACCTAAGTCACGTTCCGACGTTGAGCAGGACAAGCTTTCATTGCACAGGGTGTAACTTGCATTCTGCAGTCTACAGGTGCGTAACTTCACTACTTTGCACTTTTTCAGGTTGAAAGTCATTCCACTGGTTACCGCCCAGTCTTCCAGAAGCCTTAGATCTGCCTGCAGCCTATCTGAGTCCTCCGGACACTTTACCGCCCTCCATATCTTTACGTCATCAGCGTATAGAAGAGTCGGGCAGTTTAGACGGCATGGTAAATCATTGATAAAAATCAAGAACATCAGTGGTCCCAGGATAGAACCCTGCGACACTCCTGATGACGAGCTGTGCCAAGATGATCGGACTCGATTGACCTTGGTGCAAAATTGCCTTTCAGTTAGGTAGTCCTTCAACCATGACAGAAGTGGTTTACCTAGACCTACCTGGCTTATTTTGTGTAGGAGAAGGTCATGGTGAACAGTGTCAAGTGCCTTCTCAAAGTCTAGAAAGATCACATGGACAGGAACATTCATATCCCAGCATGATGTCCAATCGTCCCAAGCTGATAATAAGTTAGTGACGCAGGATCTTCCTTTCCTGAAACCGTGTTGGGCTTCATGGAGTATTTTAGACCTATCCAGATATTCCCTGATGTGATCATCAATAATACTTTCCAGTACTTTCGATACCACTGGGAGTAGAGCTACTGGTCTATAACTGGTGGGATTTTGCCTATCCCCACCCTTGAAGATCGGAGAAAGGATGCTTCTTTTCCATTCCTTTGGCAGTTTCCCCGATTCCATGGGGTGTTGGAACAAGTCGCATAAAGGCCTACAGAGAGCTTCGGCGCACTGTTTCAGAACAGATGGCCTGATGTCATCACAACCTGGGGACTTCCCAGGTATAAGTCGCTGCAGCTTTCTCAGTACTATTGCAGGGTTTATTTGAGGGGTGGCTATTTGGTCTTCCTCCTGTGAAATAGTCATGCCACCATTTTGGTTCGTAACGGTAATACCCACATTGCTGTTTAGCTGTTTGGCGAAGGCTAAACTGAATGTTTCAGCCATCTCCAGACTAGTGAGATATTGACCGTTTTGGCCTACTAAGGCGCAAGCCCCTTGGTTGGTTGGTTTCCTTTCCGACATGAATCGGTACAAATTCTTCGGGTTTGCCAGGAGTTTTTTAGCAAGGTTAGCCTGGAATGACCTTCTGTCCCTCCTGACTCTTGCATTGCACCGGTTCCTGAGTTCCAGGTATGCATCATGGTCGATCTGGCTTCCAGATACGCGCCACGTAAACCAAGCCTTCCTCTTTGCTTGCAGAATACGCTGCGTGCCTCTCTTTAACCATGATGATTTTCTTTTTGGCTGTGCTGTGACTAAAGGGACGGTATCCGAGATCGCTGTATGAATAATCTTTTTTACCGCTTCCCAGTGTTCATCCACAGACAGCTCATCCCATGCTAAGGGCCAGTCTGCATCGAACAAGAGCCTCCGCATTTCAGCGTAGTCAGCCCTGCTGTAACACAGACATGGTTGCGTAGCGTCCCACTGCAAGTGCTCACGGAGAACGAGGTCGAAACCTATGACTGCATGGTCACTACTTCCTAGAGGAGTCATGACCTGGACCTTTTCGACGAGCAGTTGGTCACTAGTTAGAATGTAGTCTAGTTTTGATGACTTTCCACTAGGACCCCACCTAGTGTCGTCTCCAACGTTCTCAGTCAGTCCCGTGTCCCGAATAGCTTGCAGTAGATTTCGGCCGAATTTTCCCTTAGCATACCCCGAGCCAAGGTTCAGTGATGGGGCATTGAAATCTCCAGCAATGGTGATTTGGTCATAGCCCAAGTCTCGTATCCCTGTGATAGTGCTGAGCAGTAGCTGATTGTGCTCTGCCCCACAGGTGGGAGATCGGTAGATGCCACCAAGTAAATGCTTGGTGTGGCCTACGGTGAAATGACACCATATGGAGTCTGGGAGTTCAATAAGTGGTGGGTCCGTTGCGCGAACACATTTAAGTTGCCTATCAAAGTATATGGCAACTCCCCCTCCTTCCTTATTGTCCCTGTCTCTCCTGACCAAAACCATATCACCTATACTGATTTCATTATCGGCGATAGTGGGGGTTAGCCATGTTTCGGTGCGAATGATTATTTTCAGTTGTAGGTGTGCTTGGAGATTTCGGAGTTCACCTATTTTTACTCTCAGCCCCCTCACATTGCTATACAGGCAGCTGACAGTGAGTCTTACAACCTCAGCGTATTGTGGGGTAGTTGACGTGAAGCTATCTGCTGGTAGGGAACTTAGTGTTGGGACTAATTGGCCAGTTCCGATGGAACCGGCCCATTGTGGTTTTTTCCCTTGGATTTAGGCAGGACACTTGGGTGACACAGACTGTTATTCTCAGAACTGCGTCACTCTAGTGTCACTGAAGCTTGGGGACGTATTAAAGCCTCAGTTTGCTGCCTCCTTATGGTTCGAGGTCTGCTTTCGCAACATCGGATGTTTCCTCCCAATTTCCCCTTGATCTCATACCACCGTTGAAGTGTTATGGCCAACTGCTCTGGGGAGTTGAATGTGACACTAAGCAGCCTTGGGGAGCTAATCAGTGTGAGATGAGCGGGGCGAGGTAGTCGGTAAACGGAGATGGCTCCAGAAGCGCCAAGGGCCATCTGAGACGACAGCCATCTCCACTGCTGTACGTCATGCATGTGTTTTTCACAGGCAGTGCCCGTTTCCAGCTCCGGGACACCGTGCACTACCATAGAGGTGGAAGGCAAAAGTTCCGGTGACTCCCTTGCCATTTGTCTGACAGCCCATGGTCTGTCTTGTCTCACCCTTATGTTAGAGCTTCTGTCGATGGCTAGTACCTGAGCCATCAATAGTACCTTTTCGGCCTCTTCGGCAGAGTCCAGTGTAACCCGTAATGGGGGTGGCTTACCTTGAGGTGTGTGGACACCCCTGTACAGCCTGCACAATTTCACTGAACTAATGTTCAGACCTAGTTTATTGCACAGGTTGGACCACTGTTCCTGATCAAACAGGGCCCGCTGTTCAAGCAAGCTGTCCTTGCTCACAGGTACGTTAAAGAGGATGAGCGAATTAGACCGATTAACCTCAGACTTAGGTTTGGCCTTTGGCTTCTCGTATTCCTTTGCAGCATCAGCAACTTTAGGCTTCATCGGGTTCTGACCAGCCTTTATTGTGTTGCCAAGCTTGCTTGTGGATGCAAGTGGTGCTTCTCTAACTCTATCTTTCCTTGATTTTTTAGGTCCAGCCTTATGAATCTTCACCTTGTGAAAATTGGCATTTTCGGTCAGTAGGACAGGAGTGTCCTTCTTACTGTCTGTGCCAAGTTTTGGCAATGTGACGTTAGCAGGTGGGGAGCTACATAAGACCGTGTTGGGACACAAGGGCGGCGTGTTGTTTCTGCTAACCGCAGACACGCTCTGTGTGACTACACCAGGGCGACAGAGTGGACAGATGTACCAAAACCACGGGCATGGGTTATTTCTCATAAACTCGTAGTATGATTTCGGTACCTCTTTGTCGCAACGGCAGTGCACCCACCGTTTGCAAAAATTGCATTCGAAAGCTGAGTCAGCTTTAGAAACAATGATATTGCACGCCTGGCACTCGTCTCCCTTACTTGGTGACGCCTTCGAGGTCTTATGACGTCTTGAGCGTTTCCTTTTAGGTTCGTTGTACTTCACACATTGGCTTTCAGTTGGTGCAGGTGTAGTAGTATCCTGTCCTACTAGTATTGCCTGAGCCGTTTCAGTACTAGACTGTGGCACTGCAGGCATAGTATCCGGACAGACGAGTCCTACACGG